TCCTTGTTTTGTGGCTTCGTGGCCCGTGATGGAGGCGTGTACCTACAGTTCACAAAGTTTCCCATGTGATGTGAGTGGGTGGTAATCCGCTTTGATCCTTGCTGCGCAAAGCATGGAGGCACAAGCCTGGAGGGCGATGGGGCTCGTATCGTGTGGACCGAGCGGGGAGAGTTCTAACAAGGCAACGCATGCAGGGGCCCGCCGCTCCCTACACTGACAATTTGGCACATCTTGAAGGTGGAAACACGGCATCCCATCGGAACCATCTCGTACGGCCCTCGGTGGAAACAACACTCCCGGGCCAAAACACCAATCCCTCGCTCGATTCCCACCGCAAAAACCGAAACGAACAGAGATGTACTAACAGGCATAGCTCAGTTGGTACGGACATGAACCGCTGAAAAAAAAGGCAGACCTAAGTTCGAGTCCAGGCCGCCCCGGGTCAGGGCGACGATGGTGTCTAAGGCTGCCTCCCTTTAAAAAAGAAAAAAGAAAAAAAAAAAGTACAAGAAAAAAGAAAAGAAATAAAGGTACAGAGATAGGGCCTAGCTCCACTGCACAACATTTTGAAATGCATCTGCTGATGCTAATGGTCATAATGCAGCGAAAAGGTATGATCGGTCCCGAAGCCCATTTCGTATGACTCATTTTGGAAGCATCTCGTATATCAATCTGGAGTAGGTCCGATCCGTTCGAAAAAAGTCTCCAATAACCTGCACCTGGCGCTCATCATGGCCAAGCACAAGAGGAAAGACATTTTTTCTAAAGCAACAGGAGATGGGGCGTAGGTCTTCTACTACGCAACATTCGAAATGCATCTCCTGATGCTAATAGTCCCTAATACAGCGAAAATGTATGATCAGGCCCAAAGTATCTGTCCCACGATGCAGTCCAGATACCTGTTAAATTAAGTAGTGAAGCCAAGCATCTCCTACATCCATGGGTAGCAGGTCCTATCCGTTCGACCAACCATCGACCAAAGTCTCCAAGAACATGCATCTGGCGCTAATCACGGCTAGCTTTGGCCAATCTACCCACATGCTTTGGGCAATCTACCAGCTGCTGAATCTGTCTTTCTGTTTACCCTCAACATGGACTTGAGGCGGCGGCATTTTCCTGACTGCTTTTTTGATAAGGCGCTGCTTAAGTCCAATTTTCGTATCCGAGGTGCCTGGTCGGCCTTTTTTTTTTTTTTTTTGGGTCTCTTGCTTTACCAATTGGGTAAACAAGGGACCCCATTAGTTGGTTTGATCTTTTTTTTTTTTCTTTTTTTTTTTTCCTACGATTTGATCTTTTCTGGGCTTCAGGCCCTGTTCATTTCGGCTCCCTGTTTAGGTTTTCAGACCCACTTCAGTTCAGTCTCGGTCCTGTTTTTTCACGTTTTTGGTCCTGTTTTCGGGCTGAACTGAAGTGGGTCTGAAAACCTTGGTCTGAAGTGGGTCTGAAAACCTAAACAGGGCCCTTTTTTCACGTTTTCGGTCCTGTTTTTGGTCCAGTTTGTTTTTCTTCGGATCCATTGGTCTTCCTGTTTTTGGTTTTGACCGTTCTCTGGCCCTGGCCGGAACATCCTTTCGGTTGCCCGGACGGGGCCAGCCGGTTTTTGTATAAATTAGTTAGCTTCCACTCTTCTTTCTCATCTCCAGCGCCCACACCTGATGATGGCCGGTTTAGCGGGCCGGCTGAAACACATGTAGGGTAGTACCGCTTCATTCTGCGACTATGGCGCGTGCGTTTCGGCGGCATGCATCAACTATTATTGTGCTTCATTGTAATATTTTGATGCGCTCGGGGGTGGTTCTCTTTTGCCTCTTCTTGTTCCTTTGCATTGTGTGCTTAATTGTCTCGGTGTTTCTTACCATGAAAACCAAGCCAAGTTTGATTCTCAGGGAAGTACTTATGCTTGATTCTTTGTCGACCCCAGGTAGGGTGTCTACATGCATGCTTGTATGTCGCTTTCATCAATCACGGCTAAGCACAGGAAGAAATACTTTTTTTTTTTTTTTCTAAAGGACGGGGACGTTTTTTGTCCTAAAACGATGGGAATGAAATTTGCCCTGCAGTCCAAATACCTGTTAAATTAAGTAGAGAAGCCTTGCATCCTCCTCCTACATCCATGGGCAAGGTCCACTAGCAAAGAGGACTGGATTAAGCTCCTGAATCTGGACATGTTTTAAGCAGAGGTGCAGAAAAGCAATTTAATCTCCATTTCTTGCACCTTTTTCCCAAACACGTCCAGCTGCAGGCATTAAATCCATCTGGCACTAATCGCGGCTAATCGCGCCCCATGGGTAGCAGGTCCCATCCGTTCGACCAACGATCGACCAAAGTCTCCAGTAACATGCATCTGGCTATAATCATGGCTAAGCACAGGAGGAAAGACAATTTATTTTTTTTTCCTTCTAAAGGAACCGGGACGGTTTTTGTCCTAAAAAAACAGGAATGAAATTTCCCCTGAAAACATACCAAATCAGGAAATCTGGATTCCGCCCACATCTTCCAAAACTTGCCAAGGGCCGCCCACCCTCCAAGCCCTACCATGACCCTTCGGCCTACCGCACTAATGGTTAGTGGGTGGTGTCATTTTCGGCGAATTTTTCACCGAAACTGCCATATTTCCCTGAAATTTAGCTTTTTTTCTTGTTTTTGTTTTTTTTTGTTTTTTTTTTGTTGTTGTTGGTGTGTGTGTGTGTGTGTGTGTGATATGAATGTGCTTTAGGGTATATCTGTATTCAGTTTCGACATTTTTGGACCAGTAGCAAAAACGTTGGCAAAAAAGAACACAGAATGGTGTCATTTTCGGCGAATTTTTCACCGAAACTGTCATATTTCCCTGAAATTTTGCTTCTTTTTTTTTTTTTTTTTTTTTTTTTTTTTTTTTTTTATATGTATGTGCTTTTGGGCGGGCGCCATTGTAA